ATTTGATGAAATCATTTAGTTAAATTATTTCGTATTTCAGCATAATCAAGTTGAAAAAAATACTGAAAACAGAGAATTCAAACACCATACCTTTAAAAATAGGTTGGAAGATACTACAGCAAAGCATTGCTAATCAAACATGCTAATCAAGCACTATGATAACATTTCCAATGATTTCATTGAAACTGCCACAACAGCCCAGTGATTACATAGATTATCACTATGGAAATTATATAGTACGAAGTATGAATTATACGGTATGAATTATACAATATTATACCATATAAAAATTAGTCCAAAATTGTACCATAAGAATTCTACAGTATACGGTGTCATACCGTATGAAAAAATCAACGCTTATTGGCAAAAATTTTTTTCCAGATCTATGCTTGAAATAATTTATAAATTTCCATATGTACCGGAAACATTTTTTGGATTAAGCAAAAATTTAAATCAATCAAATTAATGAATGAAATATCTGCGAATAAATCCAAAAAAGCAACGAAACAATCTAACGAAAATAATACAAAAAGGAAAAAGCCACCCAACTTTATCTTTAAATGTAGATTACTGATTTAATTTAACGCAAATTTTAAAAATTTCATTTTTTTAAAACATATTTCCGAAGTTTTCAAACAAATAAAATTATTTCAATCATTTATTTTGATGCGTCTCTTTGTTACTAACCTTATCGAATACTGATGAATAATGATAATAAAATCCAAACCTTTTTACTCAATTTAATTAGCATTACTTTTATTACTTAGACCTGTTAGTACTTTAAGGTAATTCATCAAAGTCTAATGCTAATTCATCTCGTAACACTGTTTCTCTTGAACAATTAAGTGGTAAAATTAAGAAATGCGATTATTTTTTAAAAATATTTTACAAAAATTATAAATTGCTAAAATTGGATCATAAATTATTTTTTTAGTAAGTAATTACATTTTTGTGAATAAGTAATTGACAAGTTAGGCTTTCCACAAATTATTTGATAATTTAAAAAGTTTTCAAAAAAAAGCTTGCTGTCAGTGTAACTCAGAAGATTTATTGATAAAAACGAATAATATTTTTTTGAATCTGAAGACAAGTAGCCATTCTTATAGCAACGAAAAATATAATAATGAGTGAAAATAAGGTTAGTTTATGAAGTTTCCCAACTATAAAGGTAAGTGAGATTAAATGAAATATATGAAAGCTATTTGATGTTCTAAAGTTCTAAAAAGTTTTTTATACTTCACACGATTGATTAATTTTCTCGACACATTAAAATTAAATAAACATTAATTATTTAAAAAATCAGAAAAAGAGAAAGATTATGATAATAAACATCTGCTGATATGCCTATTAAAAAAAAAGGAAAAAATGGCTGATTCCAAAATTTGTGAAAAAAGATCAAAATTGGGTCGAAGCAAATAAATTGCAATTTTTAAAAGCTCATAAAGTTTCGAATTATTTTCAGACTTTTGAACTCCAACTTTAAGAATTTTTTTAAGCCAGTTTAGTGATTGTAAATAAATGAAAAAAAGGGAATAACAAATGAACTAAAAAAAACTTATAAAATAATTTATGAATATAAAAAAGAGGAAACAAAACAAAAAACAAAAGAGGAAATTTTTTTGATATTAATCGTTTTAAAACTTTTATCAAAATGTTTGAAAAAAAAAGCCGTAAAACCAGTTTAATTTGAGAAAAAAATTCATATAATTCATTTGATAAAGATTTTTAAAAATTTTATGTTTACCAGAAGAATGTATACGATGTGCGAATAGTAAACCTGAAAATATTCTCTTACTCAAATATAAATTGAATTTTGATTGCTGAAAGAACCATTATAAACTATTAAAGTTGAGTGACAAAAATGGAAAAAACAAAAAATATGAAATTTATGAAACGTAAAAATTTTAAAATAACTTGTTAAATCATATCAAGCAGGAATTTTCGCAAATCGTGTTAAATCCTTGAAGTTACTAAAGATATCTCAAATCTGTAAAATAATTGCAGTTTCGACATAAGCAATCATATAATACATCATAATCGATTAAACAACATTATAAATTAATATGGCAGCGGATTTGTTCATAAGATTTGAGATTTAAAAAAAAAATGTATATAGGATAAATATTGAAAATGTACCAATTTATGTGGAAAAGAAATATGATAAAATCAATTAAAACGAAAACGCATACGAGGATTTCAATTTGTTACCAATAGAATAAAAAGTATAAAATTATTGATGTAGTATTTGAATAAATTAAAAAAATTCATCAAAAAAAATTTCTATCAAGCTTAATACCTTGTCGTGAAGTGTTTGTAATTCATTTTTAGATAAATTATCTATCAATTGAAACATTCGAACGGTTAGAAGATAATATAAAATAGATAGAAAAGTCGAAAAAAAAAGATTTAATTGATGGAAAAATAAATTTAATCAATTTATATCATAATCCATTAATAAAAATGGTCATCATGTTTTTGAATATTATGAGTTTGGAAAAAATGTTTTATGTTTTTTCGGGAATGTCAAGATGAGAATTTAATGATCGTAACAATCGAAAAAGTCTTAGGAGAACATAAAAAATATAAAAGTTAAGGACTAAAAGTTAAGTCTGCATATAGTTTACAGATAACAAAAATTTAACCCTGACAACACTGAGCATTCTTGATGGCAGAACGCGAAGCATAAAAATAGTTATTGATGACAATATATATATTTTTACATTACTAAATAAGTTTTTTAGAAAATGAAAAATTTAATTCAATTCGTGTGGTCAGAAATGTTTGTCAGTATGTGAAATTGTGGACAAAAGATAATGAAGCAGATGGATCAAAGGTGTTGCCGAAATACGATTTATTAATGGAGGAAAAGGTTTTCAAATGATTTATTTTTTAAATAATATAAATTAAAATTTGCAAGCTTATCAGAAATTAAATATGATTTTAATTTTATAGGCTTTTCATGTCTTTCGCAAATTAACTCTCCAAATTATTTTGCAAAACGTTTTGTCTCATTGTTTTTAATCCTGAACATGAGTGTCTAATAATTAAATTGAGCATTTGTTAACATAAAAATTAACTTTCCATTGCTTATTCTCAACTATTAATTGGAAAAATCACTTAACAAAAATTACAATATTTTAATTACTGAAATCATCCCAATGAAATCAGGAATGCAGTATGCCATGCTTCTATTTCTTTACTAAATTTTAATTGACCAAATATTGCAAAAATTACATTATTTTTGATGAATGAAATTAAAAATAATTGATATATTAAATTATTTAGAGAAGTCAGATGGAAGAAAATAAGAAAACAAACATTAAAGATCATCATTTAATGCAAAAACATCGGGGCAGAATTATATAAGGTTATGTTCGGTTTCACAAAGAAGACAAAATTTTGATGGTAATCAAAAAATCACACATAACAATTTCGAAAAGATAGTATCAGTTAATGATGCAAAGAAAAGTTAGTTTTTTTGAATTAGTAATTTATTAAAAAAATTTACTGCCGAACTTTTTTTTTCTTTTTATTATCAAAAGTAAATATGCATTATTCAGTTAATTTTGTTGATTTCATTCGCTTTTTCTCCTTTTAGTTGCAATAAATGACAAAGAAATGTTCGAAAGAACAAGAAGTATTTGATATTAAATTCAATGCAGTAGAAATGTATAATGAAAGCAATGCATTTATGCCAACAGTGGAAGAGGTAAAAACAATTTGTTAATTATCAATTACCACATCAATCAACAATAAGAGACTTATTATTATTATTAATAGTGTAATGTGAAATATCGCTCTTGCTTAACCTAGAATTTCAAATTCTCGTTTACATTTCAAGATAGAATAGATAATGTTTGTCAATTTGACATACTGTATTATTCAAATATAAATTATTTGAATAATAACTTATTAATGATTTATGAAATTTATTTTAGTTAGGTTCAGTTGAACAGCTAAAATCATTTTTCGAAAAGCAATCTAAAGTGGTCAATCATTAATCACATTGATCCAACAATATATTGACATCAATCATCTCAATGAATTATTTTTTTGAGTTTATCGTTAGTTCAAACTATTACTATCTATCACTTTTCATCCTCCCTTTTGCATCTATTAATCTTGTCATTTTAGCAATATAATTTTATTTCGTAAACTTAATAATTGTCAAGTTGTTTCTACTCTTTTACAAAAAATTTTTTTTCTTGTTGCTTTTTGCTAAATAAATCTGATCTCATTTTAGCAATATGGTTTGTAACTGATCGGCAATTAATCAGTACGATGTACTGATGCATTTTTAGGTTATCGGAAATTTTGATCACTTTGTATTCATAGAGAGAAATAGGAAGACAATGGTATGTACTGGGAAAATAGAAACAAAATTAATTTCACTTTAGTCCCTTTTTTAAATGCATGTGTTTTTAATTTTGTTTAATACTGCAAACATAAATTTATTTGTGGCGGTAGTAGTAGTAGTAGTAGTAGGAAGAAGACGAGTACTTAACAATGTGGTAAATAAAAATATTTCAATTTTTTCATTCCCAAAAATTAAAGTTTTGAAATAAGAGGAAAATATTGGAATAATATATTGATAAAAAGAAAAATGTAAAAAAAGGATAAATAAGCACATAAAAACAAAAAAAACTCAAAGAATAGCATGTAATTTTTTTTTTTGTTCAAACGAAAATTTTCTATAATTGCACAAAAATAAAATAATTAGAAAATTAATCTATGAATTCACTTTTTTTAAAAAAAAAAATTAACAATTTTTTGAAGTAATTCCAAATTCTTATAATAATAATAATATCACCTTGCTAATGCACAAATCAATCAATAAAACAAAAAAATGAAAAACATTATGACAAATTCATTGAAAAATATTGACACTGTTACTATAGCTATATTCATATATTGCAATAAACATACAACAATGAAATTTAAATTCGATGTTATACGTACGAATCATATTGATTTAGAGAGAATTGTCCATAATTACCAGTTCAGATTTCATTCTGAATTCCATCACTGTTGCATTCTGAAAAAAGATATGATACTATCAGATTTAAAGCAATACAATTTAATTAAAATAAAATGAAATCATTAATTAACTAGGATGATTCTATTCAGTGAGAAAATTTACTTTAATAATTAATATGATATGACCCATATTTGATGAAATAATTAAGCATTCATTCTAATCATTTTAAAAGGCATGTTCAATTCAAGTTAGAAACGAAGAAAAGAGAAATGGAAAACGAATCATCTATATTTCAAGGTTACATGCTGATTATTATTATTTTATTACTATTATTATTTATCACTATTGCTACTATTATTATCATTGATAATATTACTATTATTAATTTTTGGTATTGTTGTCACTATTACTATTATTATTAATGCTAGTATTGTTACTATCGTTATTATTATCATTAATTACTATTATTATTATTATTATTATCATCATCATCATTGTTATTATCATCCTTTTTTAATTTGACAATGAAAATAGACAGTATTACTATGAGATTAAATATCAAGTATTTTGTTAAGTCAGGATGAAAATTCTAAGATTCTTTGCAAAAATTAGCAACTAACCTACGTATTCTCTTTGGAATTAGTGCGCAATCAGTATTAGAACTTGTTTCCTGAATGAAATCTATATCAGGACTTTCTTTTGACTGTACCAATATCCTACGACGAGCATTGATAAACCTGTAATAACTAATCATTTAGTTTTTCCATTTCTTAAATAATAGATGAAACAATCAGGAAAAATCCTTAATGATGAAACATTGATTTTTATATGCATTTAAGATTTTGAATTAGATTGTGCATTTTATGAAACGAACATTCTGCTTCGAAATTTACCAGTTGTTGATTTGAACCATTTGTAAGCCGGTTTCTCGTGATAGCACAGCTTTTTCTTTTTCACTCGGATATGGATGCTAAAGAAAATGAGTCGAGATAATATCCAAATATTTTCATTCAGGATTGCAATTTGCACTGAATTATCTGGTGAATTTATTAATTAATCATATCATACACTGATTGTTTCTTAGCAAAAATGAAAGAAATAAGTGAGAGAGAGAGAAAAAAAAAAGAGAAAGAAGAAGAAAAAATAATGAAATTTTATTTCATCTTAGTTGATTTAATCTAAAGAAGTGTAATCTTACAGATGAATGCAAAAATAGCCAAGTTTTTAGCAATTCAACAGCTTTTGCTGGTAATTGCGCTTTTCGTTTTGAATCACAGCTGTCTTCTTCAACTGATTCTTGTGCATCATTTTTCTGGAAGTAGAAAAAAAAAGAGTAAAACTTGAGATTTAAAAAAAGTTTTTTTCTTTTTTTTTTTAAATTAATTTCAATTAAATAAAAATGAAAATTTGATATGTGAATAAAAACCTCTGAAATTGAAACGTTAGAAGATGTGCAACATCCTGAAATTTTCTGTTGGGATAACGAAGTGTGCATTGATGATGAATGTGAAGCTATTGCATTCCAAAGTGGTATCGAAAGCTAAGAAAAAAAAAACAATTAAGATTTATCGTAGTCTTAACAATGATGAGAAAAAAGGAAAACTTTGAAAACATAGAAGCTTTTCTTTTTTTTTTCTTTTTTTAAAATACATACCATTCCTTTTGATGTAGACATCATTGCAACTGTTTGTTGTGATGTTCGATTCTTAGACTGAAATCACACACATAAATGATAATAAATTTAAATTAAGAAAAAAAAACCTTGATAACTTGATAATTTTCATTTCACAAAACTATTAATATCATTTCGCAAATTTTTTGCAGGTTTAATCTAAAATTCCTTTTGAAAAAAAAGAGAAACATTTATGCTTAAATTTATCTTTGATATTTCATACCTGTTCTGAAAGCTCAGGTGATGAATTACATAATTCATCATCGCTATCACCACAGTATCCAATCATCGATTCCTGTGTTATTTTCTTCCTTAGCGTTTCTAAAATTGATAATTGTGGTAAAAAAGAACAAAAAATATTTGCATTCTAATTTATTTATAATTCAGCATTAAACGCCTTCACAAGTTGGAAGGAAAAGAAAATTAATGTAAAGGAACAAAATTTTTTTGAAATCATTTACAAAATTTTACAATATTTTTATTTAAAACTTTAACAATTGAGGGAAATTAATAACTCGATAATATTGTATAATTTCAATATCATTGATAATTAATAATTAAATTTGTACATTATCATGCACTTAGCAGTTTAATACTATCATAATCAAAGAATTTATTACTGCCATTTTTTAAATGAATCGTTATTTGATAGTTATTTGAAGTTATTTTCAAATAACTATTAACTTACGCAAATATTTCGTTTTGAAATCATCACATAATTCGGCAACTTTTTCCAATTCTAATAAGTGTAAACGAAGCATGATTATTGAATTAATTAAAAATACATCAAGTTCACTGCTTCCTAGTGATTCATCACCATTCGACGCCATTTCCATCAGTTGCTATAAAATAGACAAATTGTAAAATATATATTTTGTGTATTTTACATTTGCCAAAATATGCTTGTTTTAAACTTTTTTTTTTTTTTTTTTTTGTAATTATAATTTATGTGGTATAGTATTAAGCAAATCATGGAAGGATTATGGTAAACCTAAACAATTTTTAAGATCGTTATCAATTAAATAATGTAGACGCGTATAGTCTTATTATTACTATTATCGGTAGGGAAAACATTGTATTGTTATTTGATTTGAATTACCAATAAGTTCATTTAAATTTTTGATAAATCTCAACAAGGAGTAACCTGAAAAACGTCATCCATAGTAAATGATGCTTCCGACAGATTCTGTGTTGCTACTTCACACTTTCTCGACATCAGCTAAAGTAACCGAAACAATATGATGAAATTCACATCTCTTTCCTATTGTTATTACTATTACCATTATTATTATTATCACTGTTACTGTCATTATTATTATCATATTATCGTTGTTATCATTATTATTATTATTATCATTACTATTACCATTGTTATTGTTATTTAATATCATCATTACCATCATTTATGATCATTATTACTACCATCATTATCGTCATTGTTATTATTATTATTGTTGCCATTATTATCATTATTGTTGTTTAAAAATTTCATAATTTAAACTTCTGATACAAAAAGCTAACTTCAACAATGGGAAATAATTTGTGATTTTTGATTGCCGATGAACACGCCTCCATAAATTCACTAGTTCCGTTAAATGTTTCTTCCGATGGGCTACTTGACCTGAAAATGGAAAATGCACAATAAATATAAATTAACATACGACATATGCTATAAAACAGTCACCGATCGATTTCTCTTTCTTTTCTTTTTTTTTCTGCATTTCCACATTTCGAGAGCATCAGAAAAGAAATTAACTAAACTCCGAAAGGTACGTAATTATTGTTTAAATTAAAAAAGTAATCGATGATCTATAGTTTGGACTATTGCATTAGTAGTTCATAAAATATGTAAGTGAATAACTGAAACATAAGTATTCGTAGTAGTAATAAATTATTGTATTTTAAATACATCCCACAAAATCACTTCTACAGATGAAGTTAGATCATAATTACATTTGGAAGATTCTGGAAGTCTTTTTTATGATCAATTTTTGACTCATGAATTGTTTAGATTTCATAAAAACTTGAAATCAGAAAATTAGGAGAAATCATTCAATAAAAATTGTTATATTTCCCGTATTCTGAAGAAATTTGAATGTTATTTTCCAGATGATAAGAAATCTCGGTTTAAAGATTAAATTAAAAACTTTTCAAACTGAAAATAAATTTTTTCTACTTTACTTTTGTAATTCTATTTTAAATTTTAAGCAATATGTCTTAGACAAATAAATTAGACGAACTGAAAAAGGCGATTTTCGGCTTGCAATTGGTTGCTTTTATCACATTTTTTCATTTCGGACAATGCTAATCGTTGCTGAAATAAATGAAAATTTCTGAGTTAGTTTTTTTTTATCAATCTATTTCAAATCACTTGTAAGCAAACAAAAAAGACTTGCACTTTTTAATTGTTAGAAAAATGAACTTATAATATCAAAGATTAATAAGTTTCATTTGTTCTTTTTCTTATGCTTCACATCTTTGAATTATTTTCAATTATTTGACGTATTCGTCATAATAATTTTGCAATCCTACATGTTGAATAAATTATAAATTTGTTTAAAACTAGTTTTTACATAAACGTTTGTGATAACATCACTATGGTAATATCAGATAAAAACTGGAAAAGAGAGGAGGAAAAGAAAGAAAAATGGAAGAAAAACGAGGGTTATATGGAATATTAGGAATTACTCAGCCATTAAATCAATTTTATTAAGCAATTTTTGTCCTAATTATCATTGTTAATAATTTCATTAATAATCTTTTATAATTCCTAATAGAAACATATCTATTCATTAACATCATACACTTCAGAAGATCGTTTCATAATAATTCGTATATATATTTGAAAATTTTTGAGGACACTTGAAATAAAGCGGTTAAGTTGACCTTTTTAGATGTTTAGTATATGGTTAATCATTTCAGAAGGATCATTAAGTTCTGTTATATATCGGAGAAGTTTTATTCTTTTAATCATTTAAATGATTGACTAGGACTGATTCTTCATAAATTTTCGAAATAACGAATTGAAAAGTTTTGTAAAGGATTTTTGAAAATAACAAATTGAAAAATTTTGTAAAGAATAATCCTTTTAGCATCGAACACTTCGAACATTTGTTATATTTATCTATCATGAAATTTCAACATATTTCACATACGCAATGGATTAATAAACAATCGAAACTATCAGTATTTATCAATTTAATAATAATATTTAGCAATAATAGATTGGAATATTCCTTTAAAAAAATTCAGAGAATTCATTTTAAGATATGGAAAAGTAGAAAAGGTTTAAAATGAACGAATTTATTTGATAACTGTATATTTGTGAGCTGATCCACTCATTTCATAGAACAATTTTAAGATATAAAAGTGTACCGCCAATAGAGGTTCTAATGGAGGTGAGGGTGGTTTAGAAATAGTATGAAGTGGGTGTTTGCTGATCAGAAGTGGAAGAGATATGTGAAAGAGAAAAAGGTGAGGAGTGCCGGGGAGAGGGAGAGGCGGGGGTTCAGAGTAGAATGAAGTGTACAACTACTAACGATGCTACAACGCTTCTTGTTGCACACCCCTTCACGGCGTAGTAAATTGTTAAACAACCACAAATTACAGCTCATAAAACTGGCTCCTTTCCTGAAGATCAGGTGTTCAGGACGACTATGCAGAAATTCGTACTTAATTATATAGCCAAATTATTATTCTCCTGAAATGATTCTTATTCGAATTTAAACAACAATACTAATATCTGATGTAAAATTGTTGAGTTATGATCATTTCATTAAATTTCATTAAATAATAATTGTTGAACATTTTCATTGTATATTATTACCTTGATATTCTATCACTTTTAAACAATGTTATTTTGGTTTGACATTTTTTTCTTGTTTTACATATATAAATATTTTAATATTTGAGAAAAAAAATGAAATTATAATGAACAAAATTTGAAGGAATTTTGTAGCCTCATTTTTTATAAAATGTCAAAATTCTTAAGGAAAAATTAATCAGTAGTAGTGATAGCAAGTAGATAGTGATAATATTGATTGTTCCAAAAATAATTTCATAGATAGTTATAAAAATAATTTGACAATTTATTAGAGCTGCCTTTAATCTTGTTTATGCCGTATAACCATTAAAGAATTACGGTATCACGCAAAAATATCTTTGATGATTAAGATTAACAATATCGTTATCTTTAAATACGAATCTATAATTGAACTTAGTGATAACTAACATTGTAAATATTATAATCAAAATGAAGAAACTGAAATGATAAATACCTGCTTGCAACGTTTAGCCCGTGTAACGCTAGCTTGTGATAATGCTTGATGCAGAAGTGTCATTTTGTCAACGGGTTGTTTTTTCTCTTGAGTGATCTCATCTTCTTTATTTATTTGTTGTTGATGAGAACAGTAAGATTGATCACTGAGCGTTGCCTTATCTTTTTCTTTTATTTCCATTACAGCTCAAAAATTTCACTACTTTATCATGAACATTTATTTATCAAGTAAATGCAAAGTGCAAAACAATAAGTATAAAATGATTAGAGTAAAAGCCATTTTTTTAACTTACAATCATAATTAATTATGATTAAAAAAAAAAAAAAATATGATAAATTAAGACTATTAACAAATTTTAAAATTTATATTTTTATAACTAATTAAATTTCCAGATAAAACTTTTTCAGTCTAATTAATTTCAGAATTTTCTTAGTGAAATTTATAAAAGGGGATATATATGTAGAATTATAAAAGGCTATCAGATCAGTCATTCTTATCAGCATTTATTATTGAAATATATATAAATAATTTATCACTAAAAAAAAAAAAAAAATAGTTAAACTTCGGAAACTTTAAAAGCTGAAACAATCATTTAATTTACATAGAAATATCACAAATAATTAAACTATAAAGATTAGAAAAAAACAAACAAAACAAAACAAAAGTTGTTCATTTCAATAAGATAGCTTCATATATGAATGAAAATGACCGATTAAATGGACGACGACAAAGCTATATGATAAATCAGTACATGAAGAGAGGAACCGAGTACACCATGTCATTCTTATCAACACTTGTTATCTCATCGACATCACAATATGTATACATCATACGTTAATTGCACGAGATCGTTTTGATATATGAGCAGTGAATGCCAACGCTGCATTTCATATTTATATGACAAATCAGATGAATTCAACTAGTGATACATTTATCGCTGTCACAGAGAATATAATCTTCTATCATATATTTAATTTAGGAAATGTATGTACATATCTACAGATTACTGATTTCAAAATATCCTCATATATATAAGTCAGACGAAATTTTAATTTAATTATTAAATTTTGCCAGAAATGATTAGTAATAGCAAAATTCAGGAATAATTAACAATTTTCTTTCCATTTATTTCAAATTACTATTTAAAGATTTCTATTATCCAAAAAAAAAAAAAAAAAAAAAGAAACAATTTTGGGGTATTTCAAAGAGGTTGTAATAGAAGTAAAGTTGTTTGAAGTTTACTCCAGCTCACTTAATTTTTGTTCAAAAATCTACGTTTGATGAAATTGCTCATAAAATCTTACCTTATGAAAATGTTGAAGCATGGTAATTGTTTAAGTGATAGGATTGTGTTGAGCTTAAGTGAGTTTAAATCGGGTAGTTCAAATCATTAAGAGTTTCAAGTGCATATTTACACTGAGCTTTACTGATTCATTTGGCTCATATCTAAAACTATGTATAGCATATTCTTAATTTATAACCGTGATCCGTACTGCTTTAAATTCACGGGTAATTTTTATAGCTCAGATGCATTTCTTTACTATAAGACGTTACCATCAAAGTTCTGCCCACAACCGGTACAACATATTGCACAGCAAATGTAATAGTTGGTAACAATCAATTAAATTAGATTAAATCGAATTAAATAATTCTAATTCAACTAGTCGCTCTAATTTTGAAAATAGACATTTCAGTAATTGACACCGTAACTTGGTTGCAACGTAAAATATAATAAATAATATGGTATTTATAAAATATGATGAGGAAGGGAAAAAAGATGAAGAGGATGAGAATTGGATGAGAGAAAAATTGATAATAGAAAAGAAGGTAAAAATTGAATGAAGTGGGTAAAGTTACCCAAAAACAAACAGCTTGTAATGTGTCATTAATAGAAGAGCAACTATAAACCGGAAAATGTCTCAATGAAGGAGTAGAAATAGAAAAGAAAGGGAGGTGCAAAATATGTTTAACTTATGAAATTTAAAGCAGTGCAATTAAAAAAGCATTCTATCACTTAATAGGCAAAAATGTTGGAATACAGCTGAATGATTGGTAAAGGAAAGGCGGAAAAGGATTCAACAAGATGATGAAAAGAGAACAGGAACAACAGAAGTGCTCCGTAAATAGAAAAGGATAGACGGCAGCGGCACCGCCTTCCTATGAAGAAGCCTTAATAATTTCTGAAAAAATAACGCCTTTACAGATTGGTGGATTGTTGAATTCGGTAACAATCAAATTTTAATAGTTTTGCAGCGAGGGCCATAAAATTGCATTTTGCAAGGGTACAACGACCTATCGCTTAATCGCGATTTACGATCTGTAATATCATAGGCCACTCACTACCACTATGTGAAACATCATCATCTGATCTTTCCCTCTTTTGCTCACCTCATTCTCTTCAATTGCGTATCCATTTCCATAGTTGTTTCGTTCTCCTCTTCCTGTCAACCAATTTATAGCCAGACTTATGGAATAGTTTGAATAGATGATAATAAATACAAAAGACTTAAAATGACAATCTAATATTTCCTCTTGTACACGTAAATTACGCAAATTAATGATATTGCTAATTAATCAACACTATTTTGAACTCATCAATTATTCATTTTTGTTTGTTATACTTTCCAATTTACTAAGAAGCGAAAAAATTCAATTCTTCCATAGATTAGTAAATTTTCAAATATTTCAATTGATATATTACTTAGAATAGGCTTTTAAGATTAGATTAGTTCAAAAGAAAGGATTTATTGTTCATTTGTTAAATATTGTAATGACTAAGCCAAACAATTTTTTTTTTTTTTAAATAAGTTAGTTTAGTTAAACATTAAAAATTAATTATCAGTCAACATTTACTGATGTTAACTTGCTGCAAGCAATTATTCATATTTTCTTGAGAAAATTATAACTAGAAAATATCCTAATAGATTAATTGCTCAGTAAATTTGATGTTATTATTCGATTATTTTGTCAAAATATCATAACAAAAAGCAATTTTATTATTAATCATATTATTGTTTAAGATTTAGGATATTTATTAAAAGTTACTAACAATGAAAAGTCAAAAACTTGAAATACGATAATTTTTAGTTTATTTCATTATATTCATATGAAAAATCTTTCCAAAAATTACTAATGATTTATAATTAATATAAGCTATTTAAAAAGGATTAAAAAAATAAATAAACAAAATAAAATGGAAAATTATTAGTGAATGAATGAATAATAACTGAAAAAAGAAAAAACGAAACAAAAGAAATAAACAAAAATAAAAGATAGTTTAAAATGAAATCAGTTACAGTAAGAAATATTTTTAGGGAAGAATGATGATAACAACGCTTACTTGGAAGACAGCTAAGGACCACAATTTATTGCGTCACATAATGGACAGCAAATAAATCAAGTGTAATGAGGCACAACAATTGAGAACACAGCATTTGGCTATTATGTCTTATAGTTGCCTACTATCCTAATTCAGAAATGCAACAATAACAAACACTACGGTGGTTATATCAAATTTCAACATCTAATTAACCTAAAATTACACCATAAAAATTTTTATTTCAAACATTTTGAGACAGATGTAATGTATGAAAGTTAAAATGAAACAGTTAAATATCTAATATCATTTTAGTGTCATTAGTTGAATTAATTAATCATAAAATAAAAATTTAAAATTTTTTTTTCGGTTTTATAGATCTAAATAATTTGTGCCATAACACTACTATGAATACTTTCTGTTCAATGTAAAAAGAAATACTTTCATTGCTGCTAGTAGAAATTTAACTGAATCAATAAGAATGCTAAAAAAATTTGAGGAACACATTGACTTGTTTTGAACTTTTTAAAATTAATTTTGAATGGAATTGAATTAATAAATTTTTACATCTTTAAAATTGCATGATTTATTAATAATAACAAAATTTTAAATTATTAAAGTTTTAATTTTACCGTTTCATGCATTTGCTTTTCTAGAATTCAGAAAAAGAAAAAGGAAGAAATTTTTGTTAAAATAAGTAAGCTAAAAAGCTGAGAAATCAAAGTGCGAATTAATACAAAAGTGATCAACAATTAGTCGGTACAAATATAAATGGAAAATGAATGGAAGACGAACAGAATTGAAGTGTTGAAGATTTCATCGATAAATTTATATGGGTACGGAATGAATTTTATATTACGTTGAAACACAAAGTGTTCATTTTATCCATAAATTGCATGCTCCAACTTATTCCCTTTCAAAATTTTCTCTCATTTATTATAAAATTGAAAATTTGTCTTTCTTTCGGCTTAACTTCTCAATAGCATGCAAATTTCTAATATTCACTGACAAACCTATTCAAAAATTTCATTTTGTTTATTAGAAAAAAAGAAAGAAAAAACAACTTTTTAAAGCTGTTAAGCTTAAAATGATAATTATGATAACATTTTTAAAAAATAATGAAATGTAGCAGTTTTTGCGATTAATTCATGTGTAGTTATTATATTCTTTATCCTCTTTTTTTGTTTTGTATTTTTTATTCCTCTTTTTATCATTGCATAATTATATATTTTTTTTTCACTCGTTTTTTTTTTCTTGCTGAAATCATTATTTGTTTGTATCAGAATGCCAAACAGCAAAAACATAAACGATGATGATATAAGAAGTATTCAGATTACTTTATTCAGTGCTCTATTCAATAAGTTTCTTTTTTTCTTTCAATTAATATTTTGTTCATTCTTTCAAAAAAAAAGGACGAAAAAAAAGAAAAAAGTGAATGCAACTTTCATTAACAAATGTTTCATTTTTTAATTGTTGTTATTTTTTTTTATTTATTTAAAGCAAAATGATTAAAAACTTAAAATTTCGTAAGAGTAAAATAGACTTGTGAATTCAGTGTTGACCACAGACTGTTGAAAGTTTCAAAAAAAAAAAAGAAAAAAAAAGGAAAAAAAAGAAAAGACATTAATTAAAATTCTGCTTGACGTATGAAGAAAAGAAAAAAAGAAAAGGCGCAATAAAAATATTAAAATATGAAAATCTATCGGAACATTTTTAAAAATCTTTTTGTTCTAGAATTTTTTCAAATGAATTTGTTGGCATTCAATATATTTTACGTCCGTTTAAAAAAAAAAAAAGGAGAAAAATTCGTTTTTATTATGAAAGCTAATTTTCTGCTAGCATAGAATGGGAATTTTTTTTTGTC